GTGTGCGGGGGGGGGGGGGAAACACCATTGAGGCATTGACTTGCACTGGTAAATTTTGCATCTCTTAACAAAAGGTAGAACATTACCTAATTGGACATGTAAGCTTCACTATACACACCTTATCTGTAGAGCCCAAATAAAGGAATATCAACTAATCTGCACAGTATTGATCATAATGAAATAGTATTGGATTTACCCTCAAATAATCGAATGTGAGCCGACAAAGATAAATTATCGCAGAACTTGAACTACCTTCCTAGTTGGTTGTCGACGAACTAGTAGATGGACCACAAATTAGAGAATTGAGAAAGTTTCCATGCACTTTGTTGCCAAATCTATTTGTGCCTTTCAGAGAAATTTTGAAAATGTAATAAATTGAGGAGATAGAAGTATAATGGTGCTGCAAAACAGAAGATTGACGTACTAAGTGAAAGTAGCAATGTTGGTTACGGCCACAGGAAAATTACCTTTTGAACAATATCGTCATTGTAATTATTCATATTAACAGAAGATTGACGTACTAAGTGAAAGCATCAGTAATCTATGCCATGAAGAAGAAATAGTAAATTATGAAATGAAAAGAGTATGTTACACAAACAAAAAGATTGATATAAAAGAATTTTTTAACTTGTAGATATCTGAGCTGACTACGTCACATTCGCTCAATCTTAATAAATAGATTTGGAAAAGTACCAAAAGAGCGTGTTAAATTACCAAAAGAATTAGAAACATATTAACGAAATGCAGGAATATCTTACTCGAAAACCCTTGAGCAATCCATTTATACTGGTACCAGATGTCATGATGTGCTTTAAAAGCACGAAGAATGACTGTGTGCAATAGGATCCAACAGCATGCAAATTATAATACTAATCCAGGCCCATCTCGATTCAGCAGAATTTTAATTTATCCAATTCTACTATTCACATGCTACTGAATTAGTTGATCAGACGAACAAATACAAAGTCCAAGGTATTAGGGATGCGGCCATCTGTGGTTTGCAAATATGTCCTATCATCTATAATACAATATTGACGAATATATCTAACGGTGTACATCATCAATCGGTTTCATTTCAGATTAAGAAAATATCTAAACTAAAAAAAATTAATTCTACTTGAAAAGAATCTAGACAAAAATTCATGAATCTGAATCAAATCAATCTAACAGAATGAATTGATTCAATTGGTAATCAAATTCAACATTATGTGTATTTTTATAATCTTGATTAAAAATATGAAAATAATAATAATAAGATCTCATAAAAGAAATACAAATCTAGCATAAAAAAGTTAATAAAAGACCTAGAATTTAAAAATCCATTTACGTACATATGCAATTCTCAATATATATATATATATATATATGAGAAGAGGGATTCATATCCTCAAAAAAATAAATCTTAATAAACTCACTTCATTCAATAACTCATATTTTACATCAAATTTTAATAATTTAATCTTAAATTAAAATTTCTTAATATATAAATCAAATTTACAAAGTCTTGCAAAATGTAAAAATTATATAATACTTTGTTATATAAATTCAAATCAACGTATAAAGTATTTTTATGATTATTCGTCAATTTGAATTAATGAAACAAAGTATCAAATAATTTTTAAATTTTTTTAAAAATTGTATACTTGATCTATATATTAAAAAAATTTAATTCAATAATTGAATTATTAAAATTTGATATAAAAAATGAATTATTGAGTGAAATAAGTATATTAAGGGGGCGATTCCTTGCGTGCCCTTTGTGAGTAGATTGTAAAGGTGTAGTGAGATTAATGGTATAAACACAGATACCTCTATAATATTATCTGGCATATTATGTAGTGAGATTAATGGTATAAACAAAGATACCTCTACAATCTTATCTGGCATATTATGATGATCATATAACGATATCATCCTAGAAAACAATCTCTTTGAGACAGAGCGCATGTGGGCATGTATGATCATGTTCCACAATGATTCTGCCTCATCTACCCTCTGGTCCATGTCAAATGCTAGAAGAAGGGTGTCATATGTTCCCATCGTTGCTCCTTGACCTTTGCTTAACATCCACTTTGCTACCTGAGAATTACCGTGGACTGATAATCAGCAAGATTCTTCTCCATTCCTCTTAAACAACCAAACATGAGATCATCACCTCTAGAAGGAAAAGAGCTATCATTTACAGAGCACCATAAGTTCATTTAACTCTTATATAGTTATATATAATATACGTGCATAATTTGCCAATTCTGAGACATCGGATAAATGAAGTTAAAACTTGCGCACATTTATCAAAACTAAACAACCTGGATGGCATTCTCAAGAAGGATTAAACAATGTCAATATTGATGGATGAAACACTATTAAGAAGAAAAGAGGGAAAATGGAAGCACATGCATATATGGAGTATATAAAATATTATTCAAGATTCATGTTTATCTGTAACTTGAATACGTACTGTTACTTCAACAGCTGAGGGAACATTTTGATGAGATAAAAGACCATTCAATGTACAACCTCAAATCACATGCTAACTTAAAGGACAACTGAGCAATTTCAGCATTAGTTAAAACTCAAATTCATTTGTCAAAAGTTTTAATTATAAACCATCGCACATCATTCATTTCATGAGGATACAACAATTTTAAAGCCCGGAAAACTTTAAACAAAGGGACATCAGCTCTAGAGCATGTTACAGAAACACAATTCATCAGTCGTCACGCAAACTGCATATTATTAGTGATCAAATATTTTTTAAAAAAATCAAAAAAGCAAACAAGTCACTTGGTAAGATATGCAACAAAAATTCTTTGAAATAGTTGTGATCATACTTGAATTACACGAACCCACTGACGCCTTTTCCTTAAGATTTTTAAAGCCTTAGCCACTGCAATCAATGGGAACTCTATTTCCCAAGCTGTCCATTTGTCTAATGCCCCATAAACAGCCTCTTTCTCATTAGGGAGTTTACAAACCTGTCATTTCAAGATTCACAATGCACTAAATCATAATCAACATGAGACTACAAGAATGAAAGAACCCCCCGTATGTTCATTAAATTATTTTCTTGGTACTTTTTTAATCAATTCGTATTATTTAATAAATCAATGGTTCATTATCAAAAATCAGTAGAGGAATTGAGGGAAAGCTTGAGAAAACTCCAAAAACCAGAAGAAAGATAAGAGAAAGGAGATAAATCACTCTTTGTATTGGAGCGAAAATCAATGCGCTCAGTCTATTAGCTGATAAGTATACTACTTATATATATATATGTAAGTTACAGTCTAGCAAAAATACCGACTCTCATTAATCCAAACAAACTTGTAGCTGACTAAAAATGGTTATAAAGTATCAGATCACGGCAGTGCTGATGAATGTGGAGAATCCAGTAATACCCCAAATCTAAGATTCTGAATCAAAAGGATATCAATGGGTAGGGAAACATACATTTCTAACAAGAGTGAGTGCCTTTTGGCCAGACTGAGCTGAATCTCTACTTTTCCACAAGTGGTGCTCTTTCTTTCCTGTTGTCTTCTTCCCTTTTCTGCATTCCAGGAAAAACAAATCATTCAAATAACCAAGAGTGCATTAGAAGATGATGAAAAAATAATCAATAACCTACTTCTTCTCCACGGGACTAACAGCTTTTGGGCTATATTCGGATCGGAAAATCATGCATCGCATACAACTTGTCTGCAATCAAAAGCAGAACATTTCAAAATTTCAAAGACAAATACAAGAAATACAATTATTATGCTATTTTATGGAGTTGTTGTTACCTTTGGTGAGATAGTTATTGTGTTTGTTGATAATTCATTCCCTGACGGAAGGGCTCTTGTTGTGTTCATCTTAGCCTGAGTCAAGAGAAGAATACAGTTACAAGTTACAACAATACCATGTCTTCTTTTTCAAGTGAAAAAAGAAATAAATAAATAAATAAAGCATTACCTGACATATTTGTGACAGGAAAACAATTGAACTTTCACAAGTCATGGGCATCATGCTTTTCAATTGCGGATATGTGTCTGCCTTTTTGACAGAGTAGAGGGGATATGTACCTTCTAGTGTTATCAAAACTGTACGTCAACAAACCTCAGTCATTCCTTTTCATTGAACAGAAGATCTACCGTAAAAACTTTGCCATGCCGTTTATCAGTATCACTTGAGTTTAACGACATGATGTAAGCAATTCTATATCACAACAGCACTACTTTTTTAATCAATTCGTATTATTTAATAAATCAATGGTTCATTATCAAAAATCAGTAGAGGAATTGAGGGAAAGCTTGAGAAAACTCCAAAAACCAGAAGAAAGATAAGAGAAAGGAGATAAATCACTCTTTGTATTGGAGCGAAAATCAATGCGCTCAGTCTATTAGCTGATAAGTATACTACTTATATATATATATGTAAGTTACAGTCTAGCAAAAATACCGACTCTCATTAATCCAAACAAACTTGTAGCTGACTAAAAATGGTTATAAAGTATCAGATCACGGCAGTGCTGATGAATGTGGAGAATCCAGTAATACCCCAAATCTAAGATTCTGAATCAAAAGGATATCAATGGGTAGGGAAACATACATTTCTAACAAGAGTGAGTGCCTTTTGGCCAGACTGAGCTGAATCTCTACTTTTCCACAAGTGGTGCTCTTTCTTTCCTGTTGTCTTCGTTGAATTGATTATTCCATATAAGCTATGATTCAGATTAGGTATTCGAGAGAAATACAAATTTATAATTCACCCATATTCACTGTCTAGAACAATCCATCCGAAATATTAAAAAAAAAATCGAATTATATAATCCAAACTTGTAAAATCAGGTAAACATCTAATAATGCAAGATATCTATTTCGAAAAGATAAAAATACCTCTAAAATATGTATTTCGGAAAGATAATAACACATTCGGATTGAGTGTTACAAAAAAAAATGTTGTTGAAGTAAGAATATTTTTTAAAATAAAAAAAATGACAGGTGTATTAACAAAACGACACGTGCAAAGAGATTGGTATAAGTTTTTTTTTTTTAAATGAGTGAACAGTTGATGGGAGAAAACGTTTAGTAAATAGTAGTATAATTAGGGGAAAATACTGATTAAAATTTGAAATTTTAAAATAATTATTTTTAAAAAAGTTAAAAAGATTAGAGATCTGATACGAAGAGAGTTAGAGAGCATTATTATTGTTCTTTAAGGAAAAATGAATTTTAATATGTTATGCATTATACAGTTAGCTATTGGGCCAACCTAAAACATAATTTGCACTCAACCTAAAATTATATCAACTCTTAACAAACTCAACCTAATTAACTTCAAATTGAGTTGGCATATTGGATCAAGCAGGTATTCAACCCTCCTAGATTTGATTGCATAATATATTACATGAAAGCCATAATGAAAGCTACATTTAATATTTTTTTTGGTATGTTTGGGTATATGGTTTAAAGTGGATTAAAAGAGAAAATAAATGATTAGTAGAGAATCGGAAAAAGTTAAGTTATCTAGGGGAAGTGATTTATAAAGATTTGAGGATAAATAGAGATAAGTTCAAATAAGAAGAAAAAAAAAATACCTCTTAAAGAGAGGAAAGTTGCTAAGAATTTAAGAAAAAGACAAAATAATATACATTAGTTTTTTTTTTTTTGTCTGATTCTATTAAATGATGGTTGGATATAATAAAAATATAATTTTAAATTACTAATTTCTTTATATTTTTTTTACCTAATTTTACTCTACTAAACAACTACAAATTTTATTGTATTTTCTATCAAATTAATTCTCATTTATTCTACTTCGTTCTCTTCAATTCTTCCCCCTCTCCTAAATAAAAGAGTAAATTTTGTTTCTCTATAGAGATATTATTACACTACTTTTCTCTCTTATCTTAAAATATAATTTAGTCTACTTAATTTAATATTGTTAGCATAAATAACACTTTCTTCTCATGTAAGATGTAAGTATTACATTACCTTTCATTTATATTTTAAAATATAAAATAAATTATATATTTATCCCTTAAAGATATGACTATTATACTATCACTCTCATATCATATTAAAATTAATTTATAATATTTAAATTAATAAAAGTCTTTTAAAATCTTAATCCAATACACCCCCTTAAGACTAACTTTTAAAGTAAATAGATCTCTTGTCTCTTTATACATGTGTGTGTTGGACCCGATTGTGTAGAGAAAAAATACAATGTCAGATTCGTCATCCAATCTATCTTATATATCATATCAACAAGTTCTGCTGTAAATACATGTCTATCTACATTACAACATTGTCATTTTTCAATTTAGGGTGTAGTTCCCCCATCCATCCCTCAATGTAGTACAAACCCTGAATGATCAGTAGCTGCTATATTGGTCCTGGATATACAACAATGAACCAAACTGATGCAGCAGAAGCAGAACGAAACTAGAAAATTGCTCTGAAACGGCAGATCCCAAATTAGGATTTAGTGGTGACCTCATTGACATATACTGTACCTACCCATTTTTGGTAGATTCATTAACTTCCCATGCTTGTGTTCTAACTCTCACCCGTTCACCATTAAAGTGAATGTACTTCCATTTAAGCCCATATCGTTTTATAACCAATTTCCGCTTCTTTTCTTCGCCTAGTTCTCTAAAGGCTCTTGCCACTCTCCTGACCGTGTCTTCATCAGGTTTTACCCGCAGTTCCTCCATGTCTGCAAATACCTGAACTTACAGATAAGAAAGCATTGTGTTAAGCCATAGAAGAGTTAAATTCAGAATTGCAAAATAAAGTCATGTAAAGGTGTAGTGAGATTAATGGTATAAACACAGATACCTCTATAATATTATCTGGCATATTATGTAGTGAGATTAATGGTATAAACAAAGATACCTCTACAATCTTATCTGGCATATTATGATGATCATATAACGATATCATCCTAGAAAACAATCTCTTTGAGACAGAGCGCATGTGGGCATGTATGATCATGTTCCACAATGATTCTGCCTCATCTACCCTCTGGTCCATGTCAAATGCTAGAAGAAGGGTGTCATATGTTCCCATCGTTGCTCCTTGACCTTTGCTTAACATCCACTTTGCTACCTGAGAATTACCGTGGACTGATAATCAGCAAGATTCTTCTCCATTCCTCTTAAACAACCAAACATGAGATCATCACCTCTAGAAGGAAAAGAGCTATCATTTACAGAGCACCATAAGTTCATTTAACTCTTATATAGTTATATATAATATACGTGCATAATTTGCCAATTCTGAGACATCGGATAAATGAAGTTAAAACTTGCGCACATTTATCAAAACTAAACAACCTGGATGGCATTCTCAAGAAGGATTAAACAATGTCAATATTGATGGATGAAACACTATTAAGAAGAAAAGAGGGAAAATGGAAGCACATGCATATATGGAGTATATAAAATATTATTCAAGATTCATGTTTATCTGTAACTTGAATACGTACTGTTACTTCAACAGCTGAGGGAACATTTTGATGAGATAAAAGACCATTCAATGTACAACCTCAAATCACATGCTAACTTAAAGGACAACTGAGCAATTTCAGCATTAGTTAAAACTCAAATTCATTTGTCAAAAGTTTTAATTATAAACCATCGCACATCATTCATTTCATGAGGATACAACAATTTTAAAGCCCGGAAAACTTTAAACAAAGGGACATCAGCTCTAGAGCATGTTACAGAAACACAATTCATCAGTCGTCACGCAAACTGCATATTATTAGTGATCAAATATTTTTTAAAAAAATCAAAAAAGCAAACAAGTCACTTGGTAAGATATGCAACAAAAATTCTTTGAAATAGTTGTGATCATACTTGAATTACACGAACCCACTGACGCCTTTTCCTTAAGATTTTTAAAGCCTTAGCCACTGCAATCAATGGGAACTCTATTTCCCAAGCTGTCCATTTGTCTAATGCCCCATAAACAGCCTCTTTCTCATTAGGGAGTTTACAAACCTGTCATTTCAAGATTCACAATGCACTAAATCATAATCAACATGAGACTACAAGAATGAAAGAACCCCCCGTATGTTCATTAAATTATTTTCTTGGTACTTTTTTAATCAATTCGTATTATTTAATAAATCAATGGTTCATTATCAAAAATCAGTAGAGGAATTGAGGGAAAGCTTGAGAAAACTCCAAAAACCAGAAGAAAGATAAGAGAAAGGAGATAAATCACTCTTTGTATTGGAGCGAAAATCAATGCGCTCAGTCTATTAGCTGATAAGTATACTACTTATATATATATATGTAAGTTACAGTCTAGCAAAAATACCGACTCTCATTAATCCAAACAAACTTGTAGCTGACTAAAAATGGTTATAAAGTATCAGATCACGGCAGTGCTGATGAATGTGGAGAATCCAGTAATACCCCAAATCTAAGATTCTGAATCAAAAGGATATCAATGGGTAGGGAAACATACATTTCTAACAAGAGTGAGTGCCTTTTGGCCAGACTGAGCTGAATCTCTACTTTTCCACAAGTGGTGCTCTTTCTTTCCTGTTGTCTTCTTCCCTTTTCTGCATTCCAGGAAAAACAAATCATTCAAATAACCAAGAGTGCATTAGAAGATGATGAAAAAATAATCAATAACCTACTTCTTCTCCACGGGACTAACAGCTTTTGGGCTATATTCGGATCGGAAAATCATGCATCGCATACAACTTGTCTGCAATCAAAAGCAGAACATTTCAAAATTTCAAAGACAAATACAAGAAATACAATTATTATGCTATTTTATGGAGTTGTTGTTACCTTTGGTGAGATAGTTATTGTGTTTGTTGATAATTCATTCCCTGACGGAAGGGCTCTTGTTGTGTTCATCTTAGCCTGAGTCAAGAGAAGAATACAGTTACAAGTTACAACAATACCATGTCTTCTTTTTCAAGTGAAAAAAGAAATAAATAAATAAATAAAGCATTACCTGACATATTTGTGACAGGAAAACAATTGAACTTTCACAAGTCATGGGCATCATGCTTTTCAATTGCGGATATGTGTCTGCCTTTTTGACAGAGTAGAGGGGATATGTACCTTCTAGTGTTATCAAAACTGTACGTCAACAAACCTCAGTCATTCCTTTTCATTGAACAGAAGATCTACCGTAAAAACTTTGCCATGCCGTTTATCAGTATCACTTGAGTTTAACGACATGATGTAAGCAATTCTATATCACAACAGCACTCCCTAAACTCATTCTTTGGTGCTAAACTAATTAAAAACCGCAAAGAAGCTTGCTCAACAACTTAAACTGTCTGCATTCAACAATCAAAGTAATAAAAGAGAAACCGGCCTTCAATTTCGTTTATGCATTCCTTTGAACAGTTGATAGGCACAAGAAAATCCACACTTACTTATTCCAAAATAAATGATTTAGACGAATTCTAGAAACCTGTCTTAGAACAACTTCTAATGACTCAGTAAAAACAGAAAGAGCAGAATTTGAATATGCAGAAAACAAAAACATAGTAAAAGGGGAAACAATTGGACGCAATTGATTGCAGAATAATATTACGACGAACGCTTACTCAATAAAATAAATCATAAAAAGAAATGTCTCCTCTGGGTCGATTTTCCTACGCGCCAAAGACGAGGCAAAATTTGCATACGCTCTGAACTCATGCACACTCAACTGTTCTGTTATTTTCGTGCTTCTCCCTCTCCCTCTCTAGCAATTCTGCATGTTACATAAAAATAAAAATGCTGTGCATGTCTGGGCTTGGTCTTGGGCTTTTGGGCTCAGTTTGTTCTGGCCATATTTCGTAGTTGACCCGGAAAATAAAAAAGATTACATGGGCTATTCAGTGTGTGTTGGACAATTACTTCATGCACCCATTCTTTTTTAGTCAAGCACCAGTCCTTTTTATAAAACATCCAATATGAAATTTTATCACACAATCCAGAATACCTTATTCAAAAAATTATTCATCCAAACACTTAATTTGAAAGTGTGCTTTTCTTTAACACCCTTTCTAGATCAACATCATGTTGAATTGATTATTCCATATAAGCTATGATTCAGATTAGGTATTCGAGAGAAATACAAATTTATAATTCACCCATATTCACTGTCTAGAACAATCCATCCGAAATATTAAAAAAAAAATCGAATTATATAATCCAAACTTGTAAAATCAGGTAAACATCTAATAATGCAAGATATCTATTTCGAAAAGATAAAAATACCTCTAAAATATGTATTTCGGAAAGATAATAACACATTCGGATTGAGTGTTACAAAAAAAAATGTTGTTGAAGTAAGAATATTTTTTAAAATAAAAAAAATGACAGGTGTATTAACAAAACGACACGTGCAAAGAGATTGGTATAAGTTTTTTTTTTTTAAATGAGTGAACAGTTGATGGGAGAAAACGTTTAGTAAATAGTAGTATAATTAGGGGAAAATACTGATTAAAATTTGAAATTTTAAAATAATTATTTTTAAAAAAGTTAAAAAGATTAGAGATCTGATACGAAGAGAGTTAGAGAGCATTATTATTGTTCTTTAAGGAAAAATGAATTTTAATATGTTATGCATTATACAGTTAGCTATTGGGCCAACCTAAAACATAATTTGCACTCAACCTAAAATTATATCAACTCTTAACAAACTCAACCTAATTAACTTCAAATTGAGTTGGCATATTGGATCAAGCAGGTATTCAACCCTCCTAGATTTGATTGCATAATATATTACATGAAAGCCATAATGAAAGCTACATTTAATATTTTTTTTGGTATGTTTGGGTATATGGTTTAAAGTGGATTAAAAGAGAAAATAAATGATTAGTAGAGAATCGGAAAAAGTTAAGTTATCTAGGGGAAGTGATTTATAAAGATTTGAGGATAAATAGAGATAAGTTCAAATAAGAAGAAAAAAAAAATACCTCTTAAAGAGAGGAAAGTTGCTAAGAATTTAAGAAAAAGACAAAATAATATACATTAGTTTTTTTTTTTTTGTCTGATTCTATTAAATGATGGTTGGATATAATAAAAATATAATTTTAAATTACTAATTTCTTTATATTTTTTTTACCTAATTTTACTCTACTAAACAACTACAAATTTTATTGTATTTTCTATCAAATTAATTCTCATTTATTCTACTTCGTTCTCTTCAATTCTTCCCCCTCTCCTAAATAAAAGAGTAAATTTTGTTTCTCTATAGAGATATTATTACACTACTTTTCTCTCTTATCTTAAAATATAATTTAGTCTACTTAATTTAATATTGTTAGCATAAATAACACTTTCTTCTCATGTAAGATGTAAGTATTACATTACCTTTCATTTATATTTTAAAATATAAAATAAATTATATATTTATCCCTTAAAGATATGACTATTATACTATCACTCTCATATCATATTAAAATTAATTTATAATATTTAAATTAATATCATTAAGAAATATTTATTATAGGATTAAAAAATATATTTTTTATTAAAATATATTGAGTTCATACTATATAATTATTACATTTTGTAATACTTATATTTTATTTAATAATAAATTTTTAAAATAAATATATTCATTTAACATTCTATATTTCATATACATATTTTAATATTATATATATGAAACATGTAAATGAAATATGTAAATAATACTTTATCCAAAATTATCGATTTATTTATATATTTACTAAAATATTTTATTAATAACATCAATTAAATAATATCTCAATACATATATTATATTTAATAAATATAATTAATATTATATATAAAAATATTATTTTATTTAAATATTTATAAAAGTATTGTCTTAACTACATAACTACATTGATTAAATACTATCTTCTTTTTTTTTTA